CAGCAGGAGGACCAATGTGCTAGCACACACCTTAATGAAGAAATATGCATGGCCTGAGTACTACATTAGCTCTCTCATGAAACTGCTCTTACCTCTAATACTAAGGACACACAAGCTGGAAAGAAGGTCATGAAGACAAAGTAGTTGGCAAGAACGGACATGCAGCCAAAGCAGCACATGATTTCAAGTTGCCGTACCCCTACATTAAAAAAAAAGAAAAAAAAGATTGGATTTTTTTAACATCTGCAGATTAATGAAAACCAAGTATGTTTAGTACTAATCATTTTGCAGTACCTTAGTTTAATGTATACAGTTAATAATATCAAGTGCCTATAAAAGGAAGGTAAATAAACAGCTAAGTAGGTATAGTCACTTCCCACTCCCACAGGTAACAGCTCTCCTTGGAAACCATGAATATCCCAATGTCTTTTAACATGTCTTTTTACACGAAAAGGTTTACATTCTTAGGATTTTATTACTCACCTGACATAGTACCAACACCGATAACAAGACACTCCACAAGGGCATCCAGCGTAAAAGTAGGGCCTAAAATTGCCATTCCACGTGAAATATTTTCTCTTACTTGATCCTAAAAAAATGAAATTTCTGTACATTAGCATAAAGACAAAAATGAAAAGTTGCACAAAATTTTTATAGGTAAGGGGTGCAGATACTTTGATTAATAAACTCAGTATTATTATGGTGGTAAGGCTTTATAAAACACATTGAGAAATTAATTACTGTGAAAGAATATATGTGTTAATCATTACAGCTCATACAAGCTATTATACTTACAAGAGTCTTTATTTATATCACTAGATTATTTAATTTTGGATGTCTCCTTTTTTGGCTAATAGGTATTCTTAAGTCCCTACAAAATCAATGCATACAGTCTTCATTTCACCTTTAAGCTCTAACTTTAAGCTCTGTGTGTGTGTGTGTGAGCACATGTGCACGCACATGCATGCAAAAACCTGTTTTTGAAGTACTTCTCCAAACAGTACTTTAAAAGGTTTGTACAGCCTATTATACTATAGTACACAATTACGTAACATTTGATTATAGCATGTTATGTACATGTAGCATAGTCACAATTACTGTAAGTTGCCTTGCACATTATTTATATGCATAATCTAGTTTAAAATAAGTTGTATGATAGGCTATCTTTACTGTAAATCCTTCATATTGAGCTATGTGAATTACACTAGAGCATGAATGCCTAAAAAACAAAACAAAACCAAAAAAAAGCACACACACAAAAAAAAAAAAAAAAAACTGACCTGTGAGTTGGAACTTAGTGCAAATTTGGCTAATGCACTTGCTCTTGAAAGGTCGATCAGAAGCAGGAAGAATGGTAGAGCTTCACTGAAAGAAAAGGAATATTTTAGGAACAATTTCAAGCTTTATTGTATGGGAAAACATTTGAAATAAGAAATCCAAAATAAGTACTTATTACTTACTTTAAACCTGTCAGTTCTTTATCCAAGAAGTGAATTACCACTGTACTAAAAACAAAACTTGAGAATATTGTGAAAAGGCCAGCAATACCTTAAAAAAAATAGAAAAATTATAAATCATACCTTTAGATAATTTCTGATCATAAATCAAAATTCTAATATTTCAGATGATATACACATAGGTTGAAATACAACCCGATAATAATGCTATTTTTACATGTATATTTAAAATCTATGCTGTATTCTAATTAATATTTAAGAAATAAAAGCCATAAATCATTTCATATCTGCAAGGATGAAAATTAGCTTAAAGAGTTTTACACAGTAGAGTTTTATCAAGAACTACATTTCCAATGTTTATATAATTCTATACAACCTCTCAAAACTTTGCTTTCATGTATGCAGAAGCCCAATGTTTATCATGTTATTTAACAAAAATATAAAGTAAGCCAATTCTGTATATTAG